TCTTAAAATGTTAAAATATCAGCTTATTGTTCCTCCCATCCAGGCAAGAAATCTCAACTCTGGAGATGGGATTGTTTTCCCACTGTTGCATAGCAAGTCCCCGGTAACCCTAGAAATTAACCCCTATCCATAATAAAGTGCATTCAATACAGCTACAGTGCAAAGAAAAACGTAGTTAATTGATGAAAAAAATATTCAAGCATCCCAGGACTTGCTTAAACTTAGCAAGCCATAGATTACTGTTTTACTGCTTTGTGAAATAGTCCCACAGATCACAGATCAGATGTGTCTGATACTTCTCATAGAAACCATGAGCCTCTGATAAAAACCTCTGAAACAAAATCTGTAGAAATAAGAAATGGGCTATCACCCATATTACTGTTTTGTTTATTTCTATTATTTACCTATGATTAGACCACTTCTTAGTCTTGTTTCATGTTTCTCTGCTATAAATCAAGCATACCAATGTTGTTGAAAGTCTGACTTCGGGAGAAGCAGAACTAGCTCCTTCTGGTCACCTAACATTGTATGTAGTATATGTAACACAAAAATATGTTCCTGCACAGGGCCTTGTCATCAAGAAGTTTTATTATCAATCCCAATGCAGCTCCAACTGACTGGTTATCAAGCTATACATCCCCTCTGTGTCTGACCCACGGGGAATGTAATTTGCTAATGTTCACAGACAGATCTTTTGCTCAAGCTCTTAAGGTTCAGACCTCAGCTGCAGAAGTCCCAGGTGTAATTGCAGTGCAGGCTATTGATTTGATTAATAGTTCAAGAAGAGTAGGAATGGAAAAATATTCTTTCTGGAGTTTGTCCTAGTCCTGTGCAAGCCATTAGTGTAACCCTCTTGTATTGGCTGATTCCTGGATTTTCAATTTCAGCAAGAGAAAAAAAAAATAAATATTTCCTTTAAGCTATTTATGGTGTAGATATAATTCATAAATAACACCTGATGCATTTTTATTCCTTTAAGCAATAGGAAAGAAACTGTGAGGTTTTTGCCATGGGGGCATCAAGCAATTCCTTCTGTGCCTAAATTAGCAAAAATAAATCTAAGGGAGTATGGTGTGTGCACAAAAATAAAACCCTAAAGCAAGCAAATGTGATCTCAGTCTTGAAAATAAAAGTAGTCAACAGAAAACAACATATGAAATAGACAGCAGATTAATATCAGCGTGGTGGTTTTTTCTCTAGCACAATACCAGATTTTCTAACCAACTGCATTTGGCATGCTTGAAAGACTTCATTATCACACAGCCAGTTCCTGCAACATCAGCAGATTTTAGAACTGTGGCTTTACATACGCAGAAAATGGATTGTGAAATTGCAATTCTTACATATTTTGCAAACCCTTTAATCTCTGTGTGTGAGAGGACATTGTGATGTTCTTTTCTGTTTAGGAATATTTCTCACAGGGAAACATTTTATGTTTGGGATTTGTTTTATGCAACTTTAGACACCTGGAATCTAATTTTATAAATTTGAGCTAATAATCTAGACAATTTCATGGCCACTGGAGAGAGACAAAAAGCTTCTGTTGGAGCACACCTCATCCCTAGTATCTTACCCCACCAGTGCAGAGCAGGATAATTGCTTTCAGGATGTGCCTGAACTGTCCCTTTGACTAAAGAGGAAGTCTGTACAATGAAGTGAGTAATCTTGAATAATATTAATCCTATCTAATGCAGTTAGTATGGATTTTAGCCCCCTCTACTCTACCTCAGTGCACACCCAAATCCCAGTAGTGAAATGAATCAGGGTTAAGCTAGCAGTATAGCTGTGAAATGTGCTGGTGTGGAGCAGATGATCCTGTATGTGCTTCCTAGGCTCTTCTGATCTGGGCAAACAGTGCCACACAAGAAAGGAGGAACAGTGAGCAAGCCGCTCCCCTCTCCCACTCCACAATGCACTGATGAAAATAAACATACACTTTGAAACAAAAAAGTCCCACTGATTCCCATTTCTTTTGGCTAGATATAAGCTCTTTATTTTTTTGCCAAGCAAGATAAAAATATTACCCCAGACCATTTGACTGTCCTGGTTTATTGAGTGGTCAGTGAAGCATTTGTTTTGGCAGAACAGAGGGATGGGGCTGCAAGATAAGGAGCAAACTGGAAAGGCTTCATAGGACTGCTTAAGCCTGCACACCTCTCTGTGGCTTAGTCAAGTACTGAATCCAGCGGTTTAGCTTTGAGGACAGACAGGTGTACACCCCAAGGTTATAGGTAGACAATATGGTTGTTAGGATCCAATGACATAGCTAGACCTTTTCTGTATCTTTTTCATCCACTGCTGAGGCTTGTGGTGTATTTACTATGTGTTTGCTTCTGTTATTCAGCCATACTATTTGGTTTTTGTCTTTTCACCAGCCTTCATGTTTTACATGCAAAATGTTTTCTTTGGGTTAGCCAGTGCATTGCTCTTTTCAAAATGTTTAATAGGAAGGATCAGGCTCTTAGCACATTTAATTGTTGTTTTAAGCCTATAAATGGTACTGCTATTAAGAGAGAGTTTCTGAGGTGCAACCTGTTCACCAGGTGTCCTACCTGAAGGCTTGCTGATCTCCTTTTTCTACTCTTTCTACTGAGCTCATTTGTGTAAGGCTCGTTGTTTTGGCTATCAGGGAGTCTTCCCATATACATGCATGAAGGCAGTCCAGATTAAGCAAGGGGAAACTTCTGCCTCTGACTGATATACTCTATAGTGCTTTAGCAATGTTGGGTTCCATCCAAAACCACTCCCTTACTGCCAGTGTCCAGGGGAACCCAGATCCACCACACTATATGCTGTCAATACACATATAAACAAAATCAAACCCCCTTCTTCAAAGACATTCCCCCGTAGATTATGTTATGTCACCGCATTAAGAATTTTGGACTCCAAACAAAAACAGCACAAAAAAAGGTTAAGAAAAAAAAAAAGGTCCTGAGGATAAGATTTATTGCCCTTTGTATGTTTTAACCTTTATTTCCAGGTTTCAGTTTTTTCTCTAGACTCATTAGGTTTGTTATTTTAAATTAAAGCCTATAGACAGAGTCATTAATTTCACCCACGTCCATACACATAAACAGTGGGAAGAGCTGACGCTCCTGACGGGTGACCGCAGGGAGATTCAGGAGGCTGAAGCCATGGGGTGGGTGGGGCAGCTCCCTGGGGTCAGGCAAGAGGAAGCACAAGGCATATGGAGCTGTTTGCATATGGCCTGACCTAGGAGAGGCTGACAGGCTTCAAATCAAGCACAAGGCCAAGCAAGGAGAACAGGTGATCCTGTATTTCATTTGTTTCCTAATCTCAAAAATAAGTTTAATAATTGCAGGCTCTTGTCAGGGTAAGTACATCAAAGACTGGGGAGCTGCAATGCTGTGTTAATGCAGTCATAGAAGTAGCTTTCCCAGGGCTGTGTCTTTCTGGGAGTATGTAACACTGATATCACCTTATCACACAATAACCTGGATTCCTTGTGGGTTTCCAGGCAGTCCTCCTCTTGGGTTTCTGGGCAGTGCTCTTTCTTTGGCAGTGTTTGCTATTGGGGCACAAACTAGTTCATTTTATCTTGGACAAATTGAGACAGAGATTACCTTCATCAGTTTTAAAAGATATTTTCAAAACTCAACATTTCAAACTACATCAAGAAACATTTCTTCCACATAGTAGGAAAAACACACAGATTATTTTCCTTTTATTTAGTTTTCTGTGAATTTGGGATACTTTGTACTGGTTTGAAAGCTTTTTTGGTTTATAAATTTTCAGCAGAGCAATAGGATTTAAATTTTACCTGTCTGGTAGGACATGTCAACATGGCATTTCACATGTGTGATCATGGATAACAAAAATGCTTGTTGGAAATGAGCTCACTCATGTTCTGCTATGCATGTAATCTGAGCAGTTTGACAAACTGCTCAAGCCCGTAACACACATGGGCTGGAGTATGTGTTAGTGGACCAGGCGTACAGCTATGGTGCACCTGTGCTAATAAATAAAGGAGGCCAACATCAATGCTCCTTCCTTAAGGGCAAGCAGCAGGACATGGTAGATGACACCAAGCTCTGTGGGACTTCAGAGCGGTACTGGGGAAAGGGGCTGAGGCATATCCAGAGTGTGTGGTAGCCACTGTGCTTGGGCTGGCAATTCTCCCCTTGCAAGTGGAAAAGGGAAAAAGCAAACAAACCATTGGTGTCCTGCACTCTCTTCCCAGTACACCCACTACAGACCTGCAAAGCCTGCAACCCCTCTTTGCAGTCAGAATGAAACCATGCGGTTACAAGTTCAGTTATTGCCCTGGTGTTAAGTGTGTTTATTGCCAAGTTTCCCTGTTAAGGTGTGTATTTTTACATACCTGTAAAAGAAAGGTTTTTTGCTGGGACCTGTGTTGTCATTTACTCCAGCACAGTTGCCTGTATGAAGTGCTCATCTCAGCTTTCAGTAACACAGATTTGCTCCTTAGCATTTTACTAAACCACTGATAAGAAGTCACCTTTGTTAATTAATATGTCTGAGAACAACATATATATCCAGATGTCTGTTTTCAAGGTAAAGACACAGGATGTTTCACTTCCAACCACATGCAAAAACAATGACTTCTCTGTATAAGATGGAGAGTGAGGTAGTGAGAGTAGTCTGGGAAGGACATGCACTGTGCCCTTTCTCTGCTTTCCTGGATGGGTATATATAGACTTTCATATGGGGAATGAATTTCTCAGTTAATTTTAGGAAGTGAGTTACTTTCATGGTCAGTCTGAGGTTAAGCAGAATGTGACATGAATTAATGTTTTCCATCAGCAGTTTTATTACAGGTCTCGATTTTACAGTCAACATTTTATATTACAACAGAAGAGGTACAAAAGTGAGCATGAAGACAAACTCTTGACCTATAGTCAGAAATAATCTATCTGAAAGCATTGGTATGTGTCTGTGTTGATACATCCAAGTAGCTACACAGCAGAGTGCAAATAAAAATACATTTCACTTAATGTAAACATTATGGGTGAGGCTATGCTCAGTGCAGGCCTGTGTATTACAGAGAAAGGGCTCCTCTAGAGGTGCAAGAAATTACACCGGCTTGTGTAGTTCCGTAAGGATGCTTCACACTCTGGGTAGTCACTAAAACAAAGAGTATTATAACCTTCTGCCTATGGGATCATGGGAACCTCGGTCTGCCTACCAAATTGACAATGGCTAGTTATGCTGGTGCTGCAACACCTGAGAGTGTATCTGTAGCAAAACCTGCTCAGTATTGTTAGTGCCGATGACACTGCACAAAGGCACTGCAGCCATAACCACAAGCTGGCCTCAGATCTTTGTTTTGTTATAAACCTGCACTTGACTATGCATGTGCGAGCAGTAGTATAGAAATCAAACAAAATCAATGAAACCTGCTGGTTCAGTGTACTGCAGCATGTCTGCGCCTATGAATTATACACTGTAAGGCATCACCTTTCACCTCAGAAACTGAGGTCAAGAGAGACTCCTTATTGTGGCAACTGTTTGATGTTTGTCTCTATTCCAGTGGCTGGCCAGCGTGTGGCCTGAGGGACCTTCAACGAAAGCTGGAAGGCTTACACTTGCTGCTATATTAAGGATGAAATGTAATGTGAACTGCAGTGGTGTTTACAGTAGGATTTTAATGGGGCTGTCTGAGTCAGTCTTGCTATTTTCTCTCCCCAGCTACATGCTTGACATGTCCTTACAGCTCCTGGCAACCCTCTGAGTGGTTTCTGGTCTTTTCTTGGCTCAGCTCTGTCATTTCCCCACCAGCCACTTACTTATGATGCCCATTAAAAGGAGGCTCTGTCTCTCCCATTGCTTGCTTTATCTGCTCTGAGGTGCCACAGTCTCTGGGAGCAACATGATCTATACCATGTGCCATGGGGCAATGTTCCTCTCTGGGGGATGTTGCACTGGGATGCAAAGAGAATGTAGAACGCTTTGGTCATTTTCCATCCAGCTTTCCAGCAGGGAGGAAGCTGAGTGCTGATGCCAGCAAGTCCTACCTCTGGAAATTCTTTTTCTTCTCCGTGCACACCCCAGGAAATCCCCACTCTGAGCCCCTGGGCACAAGTGGAGTTGTACAGGAGGGGGCAAACCAGGGCAAAGCATCTGCCCTCACCCACCGAACATCCCCCGGCCTCTCTGAAATAGTGTGTTGGGTGCATGTGTGTACAGTCATCACACCTAAAGTATCATCTGCTGCTATGTGGCTGTTAGTATCACAGCAAGGTTTTCAGGTCATGGACTCTGTACACACCATGCTACTATTTATCACCCTAAGCTATTTAGCCACATCTTTTCCAGCTTTACACACAGTCAAGTTCAGTAACTTGGAGGACTCCGTCTCATGGAGCTGCCGTGGAGCTGGCGCAAAGTCTGCAGTCTGTGTGGTCAGGGTTATGCACACACTGAAGGAGCTGAACTGGCCTGTGACAAGACACAAAGGCAAACAAAAGTAACCACTTTGCAAGTACAACAGAATGGCTCCACAGTCACTACGTGCAATGTGAAAGTCAAGGTGTGTGTTACATACGAGCTTAACAAGTGGATGGCTTAGGAGATAGTTTTTTAGATCTTGCTGCAAAAAGATAACTTTGGTGTTTACAGGGGCTAAGGACAAGAGCAGGTGAGTACAAAATAAAGTAGGATGTGAACTCACACCATGTCAGCTATGCTGTGATAAGACAATAATTATGAAGAAGTGAGATCTCTTTCACAGACTGCGGAGTGCGGAGTTGCTGCCATGCTGGAAGTTCACCATCCTGCTTACTCAGTGGTAGCCCCTATTGCTATAATGTAAAGCTGTTGCTAACCATGTCAGACAGGATTAGGTATTTTGCTAGAAGTATATCCAGTGAATCTATTTTTTAAGTTACTTCTGGAAGGCACTGCTGCCATGGACAAAAGCAAGAGAAAATGATCAGCATGGATTGCTACATGGCGTGAAAAAACAGATGCTCAGCTGGTATGGACCCACATGGTTCTGTTTGGAATAACTTCAGGGGAGAGAAGCTCATTTATACAGTCTATTCCAAAGAGTTTTACTGCACATGCAAATTGGTTAGTTTATTATTGCTCTCTATAAAGAATAGTAAAATTAACTGTTCATGTCACTTTACACAGTTGTCTATGTATGTGTTAGTTGAGCTCTGACAAAAAGATCTACTTGTTATTCCATCTTAAGAAGTGAGTTGTGATCCACAGCAACAATTGTGTCAACTCTTCACGATGTGTTTCAGGTTTCTCCTTGAATTAAGCCACAACAGATCTAAAGTACTACATATTTCCCATTCCTCCCTGGTCCCCTAGTTTATTTCACCACAGGCTGAAATGATCTGTGCCTATTTACAGGTCCTGGGAGTACTAGTTAGAGGCTGCATGTACCCAAAAAGAAAGCGAGTACACAGTTTGGCAGATTTACGCACCACACCAGTGTTAATATTTTCACAATGTGCAGAGCACCCATTAGTCAGGTTCAGCAATACCTGAACAGCAATATATTGCTCTGCCATCAGGATTAAAGCTCTATCACCAGAAAAGGAATTTGTCTCCTTTGCAGACCAACTTTTCCTTATTTAATACTAATGGAATGAGTTCAGTGGTTTGTAGAAATGTTTGTTTCCTTTGGAAACGCTCTTACCCAAGTGTGAATTCTTCACTCTGAGAAGTTGTTCCTGGCAGATATGAGTAATATTGAACATCTGCTGCTTTTCTAATGTCACTAAAGAGCACTAATGAAGGTCTCTGAAACCACACAGAGGGATAAAGGATCTCAGGCTTTTCCATCTCTTCAATAGGCAAGTCTGAAATTGGGCTGCTGTTTCCTGGACTCCTGTTTTTCTCTCCTGACAATGGTGAATTATAGTAATTACTAATGCTTATCATGTTTTAATGCCTCACTCTGACAAAGCAGCTGGATAGAAAGTAAGCTTAAGCTATAGTGAAGGAAAAGCTCCTATTTGGATCTGATTACTGTGTGTAAAAGCCTGGTCAGATGAGAATCTGTTGAAGAAGGCTGGGTTGCCAATTGAACTTGCTCAATGGCAAGTGCAGGGCAGAGAGCAAACCCCAGACCCAGCCAACAGGAGGTCTGCAGCCAGAGTGGAAGCTCCTGAGAACCACACAGCCACATCCAAAGGATGAGACGGCAGTAAGAGAGGACTCTCTTCTAGCTTGCTGTAAACCTATATTGAGTCAAGAGGGAGATGCAGTATTAGTTTTGTGTTAAGAAGTCACCACCAATAAGAACAAGTAATTACCTGTAATTGTCTTCACAGGTGATCTGAAAGTTTCGTTCTTCTAAGATGCTTTTTAACCTCTTTATGGAATAACCTGAGCAGGATTCACTGGAGAGAAAAGTCTTTCATTACTTGTGTTCCTTGTGTGTACAAGAAGCTCAGATACATTCCACACTATGTCACTTTGCTTTATTTCAGGTAAGATTCTTTAAAAGCTCATTTGCTAATGTGCTGTAAAGTCCATTGGTGTGTGGAGTTTTGGCTACCATTGGGCCTTTGCTGGTAGAAACTATGTGATATTCAGCTGTGCATCTTGCACAAGAACTTTCTGCAAGTAGGTATCTGTGGGAAATAACTCAGTTCCAGTCACAGTTCAATGTGCTCTAGAACAGCTCCAGAGCTGCTGCTCGCCTCCATCCACAGGAGTATGAAACGAAGCTTATTCAGTCTCTGGAACGACAAAGGGATCAAGTCATCTGTGTGATGAGAAAGGGCAAGTCATGAAAACCAGCAGCTAAGTCCCAGGCAGGGCATGAGCTAGGATGAAGCAGGTAGAAAACATGGGTGGAAGCAGGATATGAGCATCTCCTATCTGTTTGACTCAGTCTGTGACTGCCTCTGCTCTGTTTTTGACAAGAGGCTGAGTGACTGATTGAGATGTACAGCCAATCTTAGTTAGAGTAAGTTACCCAGGACCCACTCGGGTTTCAAGTATGTCCAACAGATGGAGACTCTGCAACCTCTCTGGGAAACCTGTTCCAGCTTTTGACATTAGTTTATCAAAAATGGTTCTGCTCAGCAATAATTGTACTATTCCTGTGAACAAACATATTTTTCCACTGTTCACCCTGAAAACATAGCCTGTTCTGTGACTTCTGTGATGCACCCACATTAAAGGTCTGTAGAATTGTGAGGTTGGAAGGAATGTAAAGGTCATGGGACCCCTTGAAAGCAAGGGAAATGTCACTGTGTCTTAACTATAACAGTTCAGGAGTACCTATGGAAAATACTAAAGAAAACAACAGTACAACTGTTATTCTTTTCAATAAATTAAGCAGCTAAGAGAGTGAATGTAGAGCAAGTTTTAACACATGGTTACTGTTAGACAGTCACTCATCAAAACGGTGCCATCTGTCTCTCACACACTGTCATTGTTTCATACCAACATGACTTACCTTTGAGGTCCGCCAATGTCATGCATAAGCCAAATGTGTACTGCAGAGACTTTATCTGGATTTAGGTTAAAGATCTCAATGCTTCCAAAGATGCTGTAAGAATGGGGCATGAAAAAGCAAAACATTCTTAGTTATCTGAGAAAGTTGTACAGAGTGTGATACCCAAATACTAGTGCTGCTATTATTCTCCCTGAAAGAACATTATCTTGCTAGTTAATGGATTTTCATAGACTCTTTAATTGCCTTATGGTAAAATATTTTCTCCCCATTCTTATTTCACTGTCAGCAGAACTATCTGCAGGCTGAAACAAGATGAAGTTTTTCCATCTTTTCTCCTGTGTGATTTACTTGCTATTGATTTGGTTTGGAGCAAGGGAAATAAGCACGGCTGTTCTCCCAACCAGCATATTCTTCAATACCTTTCAATATTATTCAAGACTGCACAGTCTGGAAGGGTAAAATCCAGTCAACTCCATAAACAGTTAGAAATGTGTCATTCATAATGAATAAATGCACCATCAATGCACCAATAAAGTTACTTTGTGCAGTAAGAACATACTGTTTGCCCCATCTGCATACTCTCTGGTAGATTTCAATTACAGTCACTGTATAGAAGGAGTTAAGTGAATCAGCTCTACAGCAGCCAATGGTTTAGACCCCTATATGAGTTTACCAGAATCTATTCTGCACTGGCACTCACTAGCAAAGGCATGTTCACCAGCACACAGGCCCCACAGAAACTTGGACCGTAGTATGCTAAGTAAATACCTGCTGCTTTTGAAAGCTCCAGCTTCTAGTGATCCATTGAGCATCACTTGAACCACACCACATGCTGTTTCTGCAAACTGAACAAAGCAAATGGACATTGTATTCTGGTACTACAAGCAGAGCCATGACAGACTTGCAGCTAGTAGAAATCACTGTAACTTCTTTGATGTCATCAGAACTGACTTATACAAGTGCAGGATCTGGCCGATATTTTTACAGAACATGTCAGTGCAAAAAAAATAAAAGCCTCTAAAAGCTATGGCAAAACTGTGATAAAGGTGCAGTAGCCGGGTATGAAGTGTCAGTCTGAGACTGCAGCGATCAATATAGGAACTCTGCTGACACTGCTGGTTTCAGATTTTACAGGGCTTTCCAGAGCTCCCCAACTTCAGCTGCCTGATGGGGCTGTAGTAAAGTGGAATAGCCCTGCTTTAGCTCCAGTGGTGAGGTAGAGCCAGAACAGAGGTACCACTGGTTTAAGGACACACAAACCATTGTGCATTCATTACCTTGTGACTCATGCTCTGTGCTCTTCTGTGGCTTGGAAATTTTCTCCACAGTGGTTTTAGTCAAACACATCATTGAGATTTGTTTGATTTGATTTTTAAATTACTGGATCATGTAATCACTGTTCTGTTATTTAAAACTTCTGTCTGAATATTTAAAGACTTCCAAGTTTACAACATAAAGTACTCACTAGATATAGGTAATCCGTGGTAAGACAAAGAATTTTTCAAAAGCTTAACACAGGGGACTGTACTTATCAAATCTTCCAAGTGTTACATCTAAACAAGTGTGGCTCAAACTCAGATCTCAGGAGCTGTGAAACTGCAGGAAAGTTTTGTTATTTGTAACTTTCTAATGTAATAATCATGACTTTTAGTAGATTTTACATTTGTTTTATCTAGAAAGCCTGCAGCTGAGCAAGTCTGGCTCTGTGTGGTGGTCTGTCTCTCCTGGACGCTGGAACTGAGGTGATTAATGAGAATATAGAAACTGTTTTGACCTTGGAAAAATTATGTACACTAGTTCACCCACAAAACAGTATATTTTTACAATGAATAGACTTTCTTACGTACATGAGAGCTGAAGCATACAGGAATGTTTGCTTTCCACCTGAGCAGTCAGCTACTAAATGTCATATCAAGGGTGAGGTCTTGAGAGACATGTAAAATCAAACTGATACGGGAGAGCAGGTTCTTTCCTGGCACTTTTCCTGTGTAAAGTGCTGATTGAGCAATGCCAGACTGACTGCTTAACTTGGGGTAGCAGGGTCTCGTTTGTGTGACGGGAGTTGGCATGTGCACACGGGTGGGTACATCATAGGAGCCTTGCCAGCTACCACTGCGAGAAGACGTGCTCTTCAGGTTTGTGCAGGAAGTTGGAAGGGGATTGCCTGCTGCTTTGAATGTTCCCGTGCCAATTCGGGCACTGCTCTCAACATTAATGTGCTGAAATGAATTTTGTTTTAGCACGTTCCATCCTCTGATTTAGTTAAGGTGGTGATTATTGTTATTGTAAATGTTATTTGCAAAGCTCCAGCTGTCTGCCAGGTGTTGTTCTAGACAGTGGCACAGTCCACAAATAAGAATGCCCCAACTACAGTGACATTAAATACCATACATAAAATATGGGACATTTGAAATACAAATTTCCACAAGATTTTTAGCACCTGAAGCCAAAGCTCGTGTGAACTTCCACTATTCCAAGTTCTAAGTCCAATCTGCAAACTCACATTTTTGGCAGTGTTAGCAACTTAATACATTTCAACATTCTTGGATTTGGGGAGATTTATTCTAGATCTTACCATCTTGGATGCCAATTTCCAGAACACAGAGACAGGGTTGCTTTCACATTCACTTCGTTTTGGACAAGATTCATAGTTGATTCCTGAGAAGAAATACATTTGTAAAATAGCTAAGGTTAGAACAAATATTGTTGCAATGTTTAGATGGCTTTGAGAGCTGACTAAGGATGGCAGAAAGATTTGCTCCTTCAAAAGCAAGAAGCCCACATAGGACATGGGCTCTAAGAGGAAAAGGAATTTGCATGCATTCAAAGGTTTTCCTGTATGCTCACACACATTTTAGGGAGGCAGCTACAGGCCCTGTATGCAAATAATTCCCAGAAAAGTGATACAGGAAGATATAGTGTCCTAAATGTGAGAAATAGGTTGGCCCTTGACAAATACTCTCTGATTGCATTTGCAAAATTAAACTTTGCTCAACATCTTCAGTAGTTCCAGCCCACTTTAGAGGTTGCCAGCTTTAAACACCCACCCAGGAGTCATGCAGGCAGCAGTAACCCCAGGGTACCTGCATGCTACCCCTCCACTTTGACTGGCCTACACCCAGGACCTTTTTGATTGGCAATCTTGTTTTGCAATCTGTCCCATAGAAGTCGCAGGAAGGAAGCAAGTAAACTAAATAAAGAGGGTTAGATGTGACCATTAGTCTAAGCAACAACTTGGTGTTTTAATAACAGCCAAAGTTGTGTTTTTTTAATTAACTAAGTATTATTTTCAGTCTTTCGTAACATGGGACAGAAATACAATAAAGGTTTTAAACTGAATTACAAGAAAAGAATATGTGGAAAGGATTGTATTTAGATATACAAGAGAAAAGAATAATCTGGGATTCAAATGTTCAGATTTGTTTTGTAAAAAAATAGGACTTATTACCTGGGGCAGAGGGGTCTCCACACCATGAAACCCCATCAGCCATATAACCCAACAAGGTGTCCTCCAAAGTAAAGAAATTTTGGTTGGATTTTGTGTAACGATGAACGAGGTCATTTGTCTTGCTCCAAAACAGTGACTGTGAAATAAGGTACAATGTTTAATAAGTGACACTTACACTAGAGCTGGTGAGGAATTTTTCCTGGAGAAAACAAAAAAGTTTTCATGATAATGAAGGGGTTTTAGTTTTCATTGAAATGATGCAAGTTCCCCTTAGTCGGTCAGTTCTTATTTCTCCAGCCCACATTCCCATTTCCAAAATCTATTTGGGTGGTTACTTTTTGTGGAAATTGAAGTGCTCAGAGTGTAAAGCATGATTAAGGAAAGGTTTTGTCTAGTTCTCATAGGATAAACACCTAATTTGTAGTGTGTTTTGAACTGCACGTGGAAGAGCAGTGTTTCAGAAGCAGTGTCCCTCTAACAGCATGACCACATGCTCCTTACAGAGAGCTGTATGCTTACGGAACAGGAGCATCTCCATCACTTCACCAGGATCACTCCAATACTGAGGTTTGAGTGAAGCCTTGCATAGTGATGATTTCCAGTGATAGAGAATTAACAGGTTTATTTGGGTCCAAAGGTGATAACTGCAGCACTATTGCAGTAAGCACAAGAGAGAAATACCATCCTTGTGGACCTATAGACCCTCATAACCATTATGGACAAGATCCCATCACCCAGAGCACCGCTCAGACATGCCATCCCTCAACAATCCTACTTAAGAAGCCCACCGTGCATTGTGATGTTACCTTGTTACAGGGTATAGGGTGACTCGCTAACTCCATTAGAGGCTGGTAATCTTCTGATGTAATATTACAGGGATTCTTGTAAATGAATGCCTGTTTTAATGATTCCCATATTTTTAGGCAATCCATATCTCTGCCAAAAGATTAAACCATAGTTAATTAGAATTTATGAGTATTTTTGGATATGAAAGGATCTCTTTCTGTTATGGTTAAATACTATGGATCAGATTTTAAAGGAGTTCTAATTATGCTCAGGCACAAAAATACATAATCTGTTACAAAAGCAGCGTATCTCCAGCAAATTAAGTATAAAATAAGGAATGAGCACTTCTAAAACAATTTTCTCTCTCTCCTGCATTTTAAATTACTGATTATTGCAGCATCTGAATGTCCTCTATGATTTTGTCCCCTAAAAACAGCAGTGCTGATATCACGTAACCAGAAAATCACATTTCTTGATTATTCATGACAAATCATGAGCAGTACACGTGGCAGACTGTAGCTTCTACATTTTAAAACTGGGGCTGAAGAATACTTCCTCCTCAGGTACAGTGAGCCAAAAATATGCCCATGTGTCTCCCTGTGGAGCATTCAACCCTACAGAAATAGTATCTACAATTTTATCTAAAACAAAAGCAGGGCTCTGGCTGTTGTGGACCTGATATTATTTTCATTTATGCACTAATTTGCAGGTATTGACTTTACTGGAGCCACAACTGATTTGCACACGTACAACCAAGATCCAGACCAAGTGCTTGGTCTCCAGTAGGTTTTTCCAGTCTCATGCTGATCCTCCACTGTGTTACAGGTTCTGGCCCTATTGCTCTCACTGGCATGAGTCAGAACTCCACTAAATTTGCATGGGGGGAACTGCTTCATGCCATGACACACCCTGCCACCTCAGCCTACATTTGTTTCTTAAGATGCTATTTCATCAGCCTAGGAAAAAAAGCATCTCTCTGCTGACAGAAGCAGGACTCCTTTTGTACTACTGAGAGGAAATCTGTTGCAGTGTGGACAAGCAATTGTATCCCTGTGCTGAAGCAGTGCCATGGCTCCTTTGTTGAGGCTGCCACATATGATGTCTGGGACAGCCCAGAACATCTGCTTTCATGTACTTGAGGTAATGAATGCAAATATAAAGTAATTCATAATTATTGTCTGTAGTATGTGTTTGCCAGGCTGTGTCCCCCTGGGCGCGCTTCCCTTCCTCTTCATGCTCCCATAGTTTCAGGTCTTGCGGAAAGCCTGCCCCTCTCATTGCAGCAGTGACAGTATTGCAGTGATTCTGCATCCTCCTCTTCCCTATTTTTATGTAAATGTAATATGCTGACTGCATTATCCTACTGTCTGCTTGTTTGAATGGATCTCTTCTGACTGTCGCTGACTCATCCACTCTTTCTTCACTGTCTGCAATCTTCTCCTAGTGCGTTCCTGCTATAAGCCATTTCAAGAATGGACTGTCTTGTGTAAAGAAACTAATGCCTTCAGAGCACTATAAAAGTAGCACTGATCAATTACTATGTGAGAGACATGCAGCTGCAGGCTTTGTTACCATTTGATAGGCAGGTAACATGTAGGATGTGGAATTTGATTAGTCTTGAAAATAGTCCTAAAGGGATTAAGAAATGTGGTAGTAATTCATTGAAGATTTCCAAACATTTTCAAGTTAATCTTCCCTATAGGCCTGTGATCTCATTCCTACTACTGAACTTGATCACGATTTCTACTGAGTGCCCATCTGAGCATCAGAATTGCAAGCTGGAGCACAGGGAGTTGAGCTGTATTACACAGGCCCCTTCCAAACTGCAGGACCCAGAGCCACTTGTCAACTCCTGGCTGTTCCCTTGCTGTCTGGACATGAATGGTCTTTCTTCCCCTCCTAAGCCTTATGGAAAATAAATGTCACACAAAGAGAAGGCCAGACTCTCTCTGTGTCCAGAAGAAAGCGACAGCACTACATACCAGAGGGAATGCCTCTGTCCTGGGGCTTGGGTCAGTATCACACTGAGCAGGACCATGCAATCCACACCAAGATGTCCTTGGCCTGCCTTCCCTTCTGCCTTTATTTATGCAGTAACAAATCTAACTTAGCATTATACATGATAACAGCTATTGGGAGGTCATACCAGTAAGGTGGTTTTTACAGCAGGTTTCCATGCCCCAGTTTCTTCCAGTCCTCCCCCATGAAGTCTATGGTGAATGTGTCCTCATCTCTCCCTCTTGGGGCAGCCAAGCACATTATGCTACAGAGCTCTGTCTGGGCTGCAGACATCCTGCAGCCTGACCTTGCTGATTTGAAACAAACTTGGGTATTGCACTGTACAGTTCTGTCTGAAATGCAGACAGAGCCTGGGGACAGGGACAAGGCAGCTCTCTGGCTGTATGACAAACAGCCAGACAGTTTGACAGTATGACAACAGGGCAGCTCTGGCCACACGCTGAATTGCATTTCTTACCATGCCAGTCTGTCACAGGGGCAGCTCCTGCAGAGTAAGAACCATGCCTCCTGTTTACACAAGCCATATTTACCTCCAGGTAAGCAGTGACTAATAGCAATGATGCTTTTTTACCAGGCTATGGTCTTTTATCCAGGAGCCTAAAAGCACTTTCAGTTACAGTCACTGTAGAAATAAGAAGCCAAACTACAGATGTTGTAGGGAGCACAGTCATTGCTGTTGCACAGTCATGTCAGGGAGCATTCACATGTTTTACTTATCAGAATTTAACTTGGGTGTATTAAATTTTCTCCTGGAGGAGCCTATAGCTGGCTGCAAACCTTGTAAGCAGCCCACAGAGGCCATCTTCTCAACTGTGGTACTTCATTAGGCATTGGGAAGTTTTAAATACCTCTGCCTGCCACATAGGATTACAACAAGACCACACTGAATCAGCCAAGGGAGAGGGCTCCTGCTGATTAAAGGGTGACTTTACTGAATAGGCAGCTGTCCCCTTTGCTTTGCACAGTCAGTGGTATCGTAAAGAGAATTTGTAGGACTTGGCTGTAAGCACTGGTGCATCTCACAGACATTTACATGGAGCACACTTTCTGTCAAATGATTTGGCCTCCTGTCAGGACTTTTCTTTATAAGCTGCTCCAGAAATGTGTTACACGTAACAGCATAAGAGCCTCAGGTGAGAGCTGGTTACCCGGTCATTTATCCTTTTGTATTACAAAGTTTTAAGCTTGGTCTCAGAAAACAAAATATTTTCAAGGAATCCTAAGAAAAAACTGGGGTTTTAATTTCCAAAGCAGAGAGGTCAGTGAGAGACATCATGCAAAACATTTCTGCTGCTGGACTCAAGTCATGGCTGTAAGACATGCAAGGCAACAGCAACTGAGCTGATTCACAGTCCTGCTGAGACAATTTGCTGAATCACAGATACAAAGCACCAGGTTTCCAGCATTTCAAGACACCGAGCTCATCACTTGATGATATGCATGGATGTCACTTAGATAGGAAAGGAGAGGCTTCATCCACAGCCCTGGCAGAGCTGAGCAAAACTATGTGTTTAATGTCATAGAAGTGCTTAGCCTCCAAAAGGGGAAGCTCTCCTGCAGCTGGTAATTGGTGTGGTGCTTTTAGTTGTACCACACAGAAGAATGATAAGTCATGAAGAAGACTGATAAGGTATAGTCTAATGATATAGAAACTAGGCAATTTCATCATTGTTTTAGAAAGCAAAATACAGATCTTTAATGTAAAAAAAACCCACATATGAAAGCTAATCAATATTTCATTTTCACTGTCCTCACCTATCAACATGTATAATTTTACAACTGAGTATAGTAATTCATTGATTTGCCATTGGAAAGCTCTTTCTCTGATATGAAATGCAGGTTTTGCCTCACATCTCAAAGAGATTTCCAGCCACATACAACAGCAATTTTGATTGATCTATATAAAAAATAAGCAGTGAGGAGACTTCAGGACTTGTTAATCCCAGATCCAGGAAAATATGCCACTCTGTCCAACCTCACCCTTAAGGTAGACACTATCAATAAGTATCTACCTACACCTATCCCTTTTTCCAGCACAGCAGGAAAGTATTTGTTTGATGTGCAGCATTTAATTGACGCTGAGCAGAGCTAAGGGCAGAAATCTGCTGTAGCTCTGGGTCTCCTGAACACAATATGAGAAGTTTGCTGGCACATGGAATGCTAAGAATTCCAGCGAGAACAGTTTCAGGTTGGAACAAGTACATCTGCCTTGCCTAAAAATGCCTGAAAAACAAATTGTCTTCTTAAGGCTGCTCCCAACTCCTTATTGGAAAGTTCTCAGTCACAAAATGTGTTCATTTCATTTTATTTTCTTTCTTGGTTAGGAAAAGAATGGAAGGGTCCAAAGAGATCACCAGTCTACCAGTCAATTAAACTAAACCAGTTCGGATATGAGAGTCCATGGTCAATATGCTTACATACTACTCTTACACATCATTCTGCTGCAGGGCTTGTGTGCTCTCCTTCCCTGTTTTTTGCATGTTCTGAGTTGCATAAAAATTCTGCATTGTATCTGCGAATATCATATATTTATGCATAATGGATTTCTTCCTTTGAGGCTATCTTTGTTTATGCTGAAATATTTAAGGCCTTTTATTCTTCTACAGAATCTGAAATATTCAATCCCAATTTAATAATATGCAAAATAAATATACTATATATATGTATTTATAGAAGTACGATTTTATGTTTAATTTTTTCAAACTCTTTTTTTTTTAATGGAGTTTGAAAAATGCTGGTAAATGTGAAATAATACCTAACAGACTCTAGAAGAAACACTGAAACCTGTTGTAAGCTCAAGAACAGAACCTGCAACTGTTTCTCTAGAAAGTGAGGTGTGCAGAACTTGCCTTATGACCTTTCAGAGACAGAGATTGCATCCTGCACTCAGTAGAGCACCAAATAAGGGCTGGGATACAAATAACCATTAAAACTACCATTTCCTTATTAAATCCAAATGTTATATATGCTGCAAAGTGTATCCTGTATTTGTCCTTATATTTGGGCAGAAGTTGCTTTTTCCAGTGAATTTGAGTATTTCTATACATTGACCTTTTATAGGAATATCACATTAATCTATTCAGTGGAAGCTGGGGCCAAGAATATTCACATTAGCAGCTACCCTCAGAGCC